AAAGACTGCGAGTGAGGGCGCGTGAGAAAGGGTTCTGTGGCCTAGCCCAATAATTAATGTATATCTTTTCGTTAGCTTTCCAACAAAAAAAAGTTTGTTCAAATCGGATCACCTAGTCAAAAGTTATGGCCAAAAGAGTGTGGTGTCGCAGAAAATCTCTAATTTTGAGTTTTTGAGGAATTTCTTCGAAGTTGAGGTTCTCGATGTTGAATATCAAAATTAGGTGGAATTAGAGAAAATTCTAAGGCAAAACCTCGAAATACTAATCTCGAGGTTTAAATCTCGAGATTACAATCTCGAGGTTTAAATCTCGAGATTACAATCTCGGGGTTTAAATCTCGAGATTTCAATCTCGAGGTTTAACTCTCGAGATCTTAATCTCAAGTTTGCCTCGAAGAATAATGACGAAATCCACCTGCAAAACATACCTCAGAATAACGAAATCTTCAGAATTTCAAAATGTTTGGAACATCGAAAACTTTGGAGTTTCGAAAACATCATAATATCGAAAACTTGCAGTTTGAAAAACATCAGAACATCGAAAACTTCTAAAATTTTTATAAACAGGGAATCATTCAGAAATCCTATAATGTAAAGCTTCGATGAACTGCAAAGGATGTCAAGATTCGAATTATGAATTCCAAGAAACTGCAAACTTTGAAAGATTCAAAACATCTAGAAATTCCAAAATTTTTGAAATTTTTCAGAATGTCGAAATCCTAAACATCGAGATCCCAAATGTCAAAATCCCAAAACTCGAAATTCCAACTCTCAATTTTAAAACTCGAGTATTAAAACTCTCGAGTTTAAAACTCTCGAGTTTAAAACTCTCGAGTTTAAAACTCTCGAGTTTAAAACTCTCGAGTTTAAAACTCGAGAGTTTAAAACTCGAGAGTTTAAAACTCTCGAGTTTAAAACTCTCGAGTTTTAAAACTCTCGAATTTTAAAACTCTCGAGTTTTAAAACTCTCGAGTTTTCAACCTCTCGAGTTTTAAACTCTCGACTGTTAAAACTCTCGAGTTTTAAAACTCTCGAGTTTTAAAACTCTCGAGTTTTAAAAACTCTCGAGTTTTTATACTCTCGAGTTTTAAAAACTCTCGAGTTTTCAAACTCTCGAGTTTTCAAACTCTCGAGTTTAAAACTCTCGAGTTTTAAAAACTCTCGAGTTTTAAAGCTCTCGAGTTTAAAACTCTCGATTTTTAAAACTGTCGAGTTTAGGAATTCGAGACCCAAAATGTCGAGATCCTGCAAAATGAAAACTTCAATTTTTGAAAATCTGAAACCTGTTCTGAAAAGCCCTGAAGGTCGAAATTCTCTTGTATCAGTTTCAAGTCAAAAATGTTTCTGCTGCTGGATTTCGAGATCTCAATGTAGAGATCTTCGAAATATAAAAATTGCAGAAAACGAAAAAAGGTATGCTGCTGGATTGTATGATGCAGTAAACGAAAAAAGGTATGCTGCTCGAAAAAAACGTTTCGAGATCTCTTGTAAATGTTGTATGATGCAGTAAATGAATTGTATGATGCAGTTAAGTGTTGTATAAGGTGCATACTTTTATGTTATATGACCACTTAAAATGTCAAATAATTGAGGTGTTTGAAAATAATTCACTGTAAAAGTGATTTGTGTGTGCTATATAGTTGGTCGGTATGGTATTATGTTAAACTTAATTAAGGGTTATGATGAATCCAAGTATGAAGAAAACTAATATGGTGGATGTATTATAAATATAAATGGCCCAATTCAAGATGTATTTCACGAGCACAGAAACATATTATGCATATAAATGAATTTAATGATGCATTTTAGTGTGAAGATGAGTGCACATTACAGTGTACATTGGTTATCAATAAAGATTTTAAAAAACAACTTTTCATTGAGTCAACGTTTATTTTTTTTCAATAGGGGAACAAATTATGCACATAAATGCATCTAATAATGCAGTTAAGTGTGATGAGAAGTGCATAACTGCATAGTATACAATAACGAATAGGAAATTTTATAAGCACACATAATACATACACATCTCGTACAATGAACAAAAGTAAAGATGCATTGATTACATCAACATGCTTACAATGTACATACCATTACATAGGAAACTAAGCTACAACAAAAAAACAAGTGCAATAATATAGTGACATTATGAATTTGTTTGTTTAAGAGATAATTCAAGCTCATAAAGCTATCATGACCAGACATCTCATTGCACAATCTATAAAGCCTCTGGGGACATTTTGATTCTTCAACAGTCACCTCCTCTAAAGACTTGATTCTTCTAAGAGAACATTTATTTTTATCCCGTGAAAGGTACACGAATCATATATTGTGCCTGTGAATATTGAAAGGACGACGAGTTATGCATCAACTAAGCAGACAAATGCATACAATTCAGTTCAAACATGCAAAGTAAACATACTGGTGTAAGATACAGGTAAATGTCAAAGCTTAAAATTCAAAGAAGAAGCAGATAATCATCTCAAAGTAGATGATTGAAACAAAACTATTTGAATCAAATTTAAAAAACATGATACATTCTAGACAGAAGGAGTACATGAAAGATGACACATGAGCTTAATTAGTGATGACCTTTGACACAATTAATAACCAATTGGAAGTGAAATAAGTTAACTAACAACACAAAAGGCATATATTCTGTATTTAATGAACTATTACATCATACTGAGCTAATGCATAGTACACTATACAAAGATAACTAACTAGATTGAACACCATAAAATATTCCCAACACCTATAAATGATGCATATTGTATCGCAAATACATTCATGTTTCATATAACCCAATAATAGCCTAGTTAACAACAAATTCACACTGTTTGAATTCCAATTTTAAAACATTGAAATCTATAAATAAAATTAAAAACAATAATCGAAGAGTAAAAAACTACAATTTTTAGAATGAAGTTTGGAGAGATGGATAATACTTTGAATACATAACATAGGAGATAATGATGAATAATAAAAATTACTTCGTGTTATCAAAATCAAAAATAAACACAGAGAGCTTAATACAATAAAGAGATTATGATAGCGCCTATTATAGCATACTTGAATCCATGGTCTTCGATTAACAATAGATCTATTGCGATTAAATTGAATTAGGTTGAAAATAGAAATTGTGGCTTGCGATAGAGATGGATATGGAGTGATATTTGAAGATGGACATAGCAGAGAATTGAGTTTGATTATAAACTTACGGTTGGGAAAGAAGCAGTTCGAGTAAGGGCGTAAGCTGTTGATCGATGAAATTGACGATGAAATCAAGCTTTGATGGAATGTCGGAAGTTGTTGATCGAAGAATATGGGTGAAAGGAAATAATAGAATAACAGTAGTTATGGAAAGGAATGTGATTGTTTTTCCAAAAATGATATAACGAAAAAGACTAATGAGCCTTCAACTCTCTAAAATCACCCATATTAAATGTACGGCAGATCAATTAGAATAGATGGCCAGGATTAGTTTGTAGGTTAGTAAATTAAGCCTTCATCTAATTTAGATCATCGCTCGATTCTACTGATTTGAAGACAACATACTTATTATACATGAGGGTGTTTTAGCCATTTGACCTAAATCTTATAATGGAAAAAATCACGTTTCATTCCATAACCGCCTACTCTCATTATCTCCCTTCCATCTCTGCAATTCTCATTATCTCCCTTCCATCTCTGCAATTCTCATTATCTCCATTCCGTCTCTGCGATTAAAGCTAATCGTCTCCTTCATCTCTCTGCTTCTCTTCGACCGCCACTAATATCAAAGCCTCCGGTTTTATCTCTTTCGATTACTGTCGTCAAATGCCATGGAATCTGGTATTCATGTATGAACTCCAAAATCATACTAAATATTATGGTTTTCATTTTTTGAATTTTCATTATATAGATGCAAACATTTGTTATGGTTTTATGGTGCATTTAGTGAAATAACATTTCACGGTTGTTTAATATTGTTTTCTTTCATGTTTAATATTATTTATTGTTTGTTGTTTATATAGATTTGAATTGTGCTTTAGAAATTTCTCCTGGGCTCAAAGTACTAGATCTTGTCATAATCTAGATGCTGACTTGAATCTTTACAAAGACTATGCAGCTGAATTTGGGTTTACTATTCGTCATCATACATCAAAGAAGGCCGGATATGGTCATATATTCATGAAGTATATTGTATGCAATCTCTGAAGTTTGCCTGAAAAATAGTTAATGAGTGCCGAATAGGATTGGATGTTGATTCGGATATAGGTGTAAAGATTTGAGATGTGATGTTTATTCAGATATATGATAAATTTGTCTGTGCATAATGTCAGATGAATAGATGTCATTATTTTAATTTTTGCTGAAATCCAATATTCAGAATAATAAGATGCAAGTGTTTTGGATACAACATGCAACACTCTGTCCAAGGTTATTTGTGTACATAGTTTTGTAACACAGGCGCATAATTTTCATTTGATTAGAAGTTAGATGGAGAAGGTTCATTTTACGTGCAACTTTGAAAGCGTTTAGGTGCAACAGGTTTGAAATTGAGGAATGTTGATCAATTATATATCATTGCAATTGGAATGTGAAACTGATGTAAGATGCATTTATTGAATATGTAAGATGCAATAGTTATATTTGTAAGATGCAGTGATTTTGCAATTAGGAAGTAAGATGACATAGTCTAATATGTGAGATGCAGGCAAGGTTTTGAAAGGCGAAATCGGGCCTCGAGGCGTTCGGGGGTAGCCTTCCGAGGCGTAAGCCTCGAGGCGTAACGAGGCGTAAGCCCCGAAATTTAATTGCTTAAGTGTATCTACAAGCCTATGACATATTAGAAGGTATAGATAATTCATAACAATAACATATCTAAACAAAATCACAAGTAAAAATATCATAACTACAAAATATTCAAGTCCAAATAATATAAAACTGAAATACCAAAGTCAAAACTCAAAAGAACATAAAGCATTAAAATTCTAAGACAAGAAAATAAAAGTTTAGGAGTTTAAGTTTGCAAATTGACAAATTGGAACTATTAATCTTCAAAACTAAGCCTATCGTCCTCTTCATGAGTATCCAAATTAGTAATGTCATTCTCATTGTCATCTCCTTCATTTTCACGGGCCTCATTATCTTCTTCAGTTCCAACTGTAAGGTCCACCCCTACACACATAAAGTCACAAAAATAGAATGAAACGGAATGGAAGTTAAGTGTAAATAGTTATATTGAAGGGACAAAAAAATAAAATATTAAGTTATGAACCTCTGAATTCGTTGTCCATTTCATCAACAACTAATGCAAGTTCATCACGTGCATCCACACTTTCTCCATCATCTGCATTCGGTTCAGCAATCCACTCATCATCAGATGATACATTATCGAAGATCAAATTATCCTCTTTCTTTTGTAATCTGCTCTTCCTAAACTTCAACTTCTTGTTGAACATTATAAATACCAAACTATTCAACTTAATGGCTGAAAGACGATTCCTTCTCTTCGTATGGACTTGATTGAATGTGCTCCAATTTCGTTCACAAGCGGAAGAAGAACACGTCAAGCCAAGAATTTTGACCGCAAAAGCCCGTAGTTCTGGAATATGATCTCCAAATTGATCCCACCATTCCACTAAAAAATGTTAAAGAATTAAAAAAATTCTGTTTTGCAACAATACACAAGTACACTATGTATAAACATTAAAGATATTAAAGATGTAGTTTAATGTTTACCTGGGGGACGTGTTTTATATGAATTTTGAGCCGCCCTCATTCCGAAAAGTCCACGCTTGTATCGATATTCATCCATTTGTGCATCAGCTTGGTTAAAATCACTACTATCAGAAATAAGCCTCTCCATACAAGCATACAAATCTTTCTTAACCTCCACATGAGTAGAGAAGTCATCCTCCCATTTGAATCTGGGATTCAAATAATACGCTGCAGCATGCAAGTCCCGATGCAGTTGGTGCTCCCACTTCTCATCAATTATCTTCCAAATCTCACTATAAGTGGAATATTGATTTCCAAAATTTTCTGCAATTTTTTCTTTTGCAGAATCCATAGCACCGTAGATGAATCCCATTGCAGGCTCATCACCATCAACAATCCTCAAAACTTCAACTAATGGCCTTGATGTTTTTATTGAGTAAGCAACCTCAGGCCAAAACGTTCTGTCATCCATCACAATCTTTTTAACCTCCTTCCCCTCAACTAATTTTGCATAACGACTTGAAGTCCACTGTTTAGAAACAAACATTCTTTGCAGGGGCTCTTTTGCGGTGGCCACACAATCTAAAGTCAAGAAAGCAGTAGCAAACCTCGTGGGGCCTGGATGAACTAGGTCTTTCCCGATAAACTTCCTCATAAGCTGCAAAACCCATCCACGATTATAGATAAAATTAGTGACCTTCTTAGCTTTGATCAAGACATTTTTGTTCTGTGGCAGCTCTCCAATCTTCTCAAGTATGAGGTCAATACAATGGGCGGCACATGGCGTCCAATACAAGTGCTTCCTCTTCTCCATTAAAAGTCTCCCAGCAGCTTTGTATGCACTTGCATTATCTGTCACGATTTGCACTACCAGACTTTCTCCTATTTCCTCAACTACTCCGTCGAGCAATTCAAAAAGATAAGTTGCATCTTTAACTCGATCCGATGCATCAACAGATCTGAGGAAAACATTACCATATTGGTTGTTAACAAGAATGTTAAGAAGCCCTCGGTTTCTTGTGTCGCTCCACCCATCTGACATTATCGTAACTCCGGTGTGCGGCCATGTCTTCTTCACTTCTTCCACATATGTGTTCGTGGTATCATATTCCGCTTTAAGGATCCACGTCCGCAACTCATGCATAGATGGGGATTTAAAGCCTGCACCATAATTACTAACAGAACGCAACATGTTAAAATAAGAAGGACTGCGGGCTACATTAAATGCTATTGCATTTTCAAAGAAAAATCTGCCCACATCTTGACAAACAAGATTGTGTCGCTCTCTCATGGTAGTTTTACTCATTTTGTTAGGCAGAATATCATCTTCTACAACTTCCTGCTCATTTGCTACATCTCTTGAGCTACTGCCTGGACGAGTAACGAAGCGATCAATAGGCCCACGCGGTTGAGGTCCAGTTACTCCAGTTCCAAAGTACGAGCCAGAATCTACCATTTCATCAAAAAGCTTCTGGTTAACGTGTTTCTGATCTTGATAGTTCTTCAACATTGCTAGCACATCCTTTTTAACATTTTCGGGAACACTTTTGCATGGCGCCACATTTTTATGTGTTCCCGCAAGGTGCTCTTTAAGTCTCCCCACTCCACTGGTGATCACCTTATTGCAATATTTGCATTTTGCATATACATAACCAGTCTTTCCTGCCGGAGGATTCAATTTAATTCCATACTGCCAAGCAGGATCCTTATCCTTATTTGAGCTAGACCCCTCTCCCTGATTCTTACTCGGTTTAACCATCGTGAGTAATCAGCCCACTCCTATGAATAAAATGATTTTTTTACAAGAATTTAAGTAAATTACTCACAATAAATAACTAAATAATTGATAAACAACTTTAAAAAATATATAATCAAACTGTATGAACTTAACTATAACATGTCTAATTAAAATTAAATCTTGACTGAAGTAAATTAGTAAACTACTAAAGTACGTAGTATTAAATTTTTAACAAATAAATTAGTATTTAGTAATGTAAATCCGTAAATGATAGTTGTATTATTACTTATGAACACATCACACATAAACACAAACAGACATTTATGATCTTTTAAATTTAAAACAGACACAAATATATTAATTAAACACTAAAAAGTTAAATAAACAGACAACTATTTAATACTACGTAAGTACGTAACTTTTAATAATTTATAACGCTAGGCTCATGAAATCATAATAATTTTGTCTCACACATCACACACAAACAGACATTTATGATCTTTCAAATTCAAAATAGACACAACACACAAATACATTAATTAAACAGTGAAAAGTTAAACAGTTAATTAGTTAAATAAACAGACAAGTATTTAACTAAAAAACTTTTAAATAAATAAAAAATTAAATAACAACCTGCTCACCAGAACTTTTTAGTACTTAAATAAAAAGTTAAATCAAAAGTTAAAATTTAAATTATAATTGCATACTTTCTTGCATACGTAACTTTTAATAAATGAAAACAGAACTTTTAAATAAATAAAAAATCAAATATAAAACTTAAACCAGGAAGACAAATACACAATAACAAATTATAGAATTGGGTTGTGGGGTATTGTTTAATACGGTTAAAAGTTAAAACCTGGATGGTTGGATGAAGCGGCAAAGATGCAGGGAGGAGCTCCTGAAGTAAGCAGGTTGAGCCGGTGATGTTCGCAGCAACTGTTAGCCTGTTCTTTACTTCTTGACGTTGCAGACTTGCCGTTTCTTGTTTGTGGTTGTAGTAGAAGATGGAACGGCAATTGTTTATAATAGGGTTGTGGCTAAGTCGGCTAAGGATGTAGGTAATTGGCGTTTAGGATTAAAAAAAAGCCCCCCACTAATTTTTAAAAAAGAAGCCCAATGTACGTAAATTAGAGGCGTACGCCTCATAAACGCGCAGCGCCTTGGAGCCGATTTTGCGCCTCGTCAAAAAAAAAGGCGCAAGCCTTGTTACGGTAAGTTCAGGCTTAAGCCTTACTAGCGATTCTCTAGCGCATTAACGCATTTGCGCCTTTGGTGCGTAAAGGCGTTTCGCCTTTTAAAACCATGGATGCAGGGGTTTTGCAATTGGAAATTTGAGCATAAGTAGGATGTAGTAGTTATAGTTGAGAAAATGCAGTCGTTTTAGGTGCAAAGTGGATGTTTTTTGGTAATGGTAGTGAGAATTTGCTAAAGATGTAAGATGCAGCAAGCAAATAGGTAGCGTGTTGTTGTTAAATACATTAGACGCAGTATGGCATGTATTCATTGTCCTGTGTGGTGCGATTCATTATAGAACTTAGTGCATATAGACAAAGTAGTATAAAGTGTTTCTTGATTAATGCACACCAAGTGTTTGTTTAAATGAATAAGTGACATAGTATTAGTTTTGTGTTGTATAATTAAGTGAAATAAGGCTGATAGTATGTTGTTAGAATTATGGTTTGATGTATATTATTGGCATATAGTAATGATGTTAAAATGTAAAGTGAAAATATATTTATATTGTGGGGCATCTTAAAGTACTATGAAGTGCATCTGATAACAAAAGAGTGTGAAAATTGGTTTGGGTTTGATGTTTTTCATATCTATCCCTACATTTTTTATGTGTGCTTCATATAGGACTGATACAAAATGATGCACCCAACGAATCTGTATATGCATCTGGTTTTTGTGTGATGGAGTTAATACACAAAAATGTAAGGTGCAATTCCTTGTAGAGTTTTAGATGTAAGATGTAGGTGTTTCAGATTTTAGATGCAGGATTTAAAGCATGTGAATTTGTTTATGATGCATATTGATTCATGATTGTATGATACAAGATGCATCTAAAGTACAATTAAAATGCAGGTTGATACGTTCGTAATTTCCATTTCTATGTTTATGTTTTTAATTAGTTTTGCTTGACTTTTACTTTGGAAATTACACACTTTTGGTGTAATAGATTAGATTGTTAAATTCTTGTAAATAGGTTAGATTAGACATATTCTGAGCTTAAGCAGGTTTTTGTCACCCAAAGTACAGTTGGTGAACCCAAAAAGTGAAGAGAAGGTGCAAAAGTTCAAAGACAAAAGAAGATCCTGAATTTTGGTCTATACTCGGTCGAGTATCAGCTATACTCGATCGAGTATTAGGTTGGAACTTCAAATCGGATCAGATCCGAAGACAAAGGAACATGCAGGGAAGATTTTGGCCACGATTCTATGTCTATACCCGATCGGGTAGACCGACATACCCGATCGGGTATGCCTTTAAATTGCAAACGAAGATCGGTCGAGTATAGCCCGAATACCACTTTCTAAGCATACTCGACCGGGTATTCATATATACTCGATCGGGTATGCCTTTAAATTGCAAACGAAGATCGGTCGAGTATAGCCCGAATATCACTTTCTAAGCATACTCGAGCGGGTATTCATATATACTCGATCGGGTATACACTTAGAAAATAGCCTGAAACCGGTCGAGTATGCCTCGGATCGGATGTTACACACATACTCGATCGGGTACCATGTATATACCCGATCGAGTACCCGAATCTCATCCCAAAAACCTATAAATACACCTCCTTTCCTTCACAAAAAGATATCCAATCCCTTGTACATCTAAGCTCAGTATAGAATAGCTTTTTCTTTATATTTTTCATCATGTTTAGTTTCCAAATGAGGAGCTAAACTCTTCCATCTTGGTTTTGCTACTTTGAAGCTTAATGAATTTGTAAGTTGTGAGTTATTTTCTTTAATCCTCTTCCTTGAATATTAATTCTTTCTTTCAAAATACTATCTCTATTTCAAAGTTGGGGAGTGTTACTAAGATGACAATTAGTTAACATCTTGACATTGGTTATAGTAATAGCTATTTCTTCCTCTATGATTATATTGGGGAGTGTTGCTAAGATGACAATTAGTTAACATCTTGATATTAATCATAGTAGGATTCATATATTTTAATATTCTTCCTTGAGTATTGATTAATTCCTATTCATATTTCATGTTAATATCTTAAACATTACTTAAAGTATCAACTAGTATTGTTTCTCATATTAATTATTACTAGAATCAATCGGTTAATATGCTTGTTATTAATCCGGTTCTTTCAACGGTAGTAAACTTGGAATATTAATGCATGCATCTCATGGTTAATATGCCAAGGGGAATTAATTATATTGATTAAACCAATAAACCGCTTGTGTTGAGGTTATCAATCTCAATCGTTTTCATCTTAAGTTTATTGCTACTATCAAGTTAATATACGGCGCTTGTTCTATATTGACTCGATAGTAAGTTTTATTAATGAACGCATCTCGTTATTAATAACTACCCTCGATGAACTGGATATACTCCTCGATTGAGTATTCGAGAGGAAGATAGTTAAAGATATAACCGGGATCGACGAACATTTCATTAAGTGGATAAAAGCAAAACCAAGTCCCCATCTCATTGAATTAAACTCATATAGGTCGTTTATCTT